TATTTTGGTTACACTTTACTTGAAGGGGTGTGCATAAGACTGACATTACACCTTCATAATCATGACATGACACCTTCATAATCATGACATGACACCTTCATAATCATGACATGACACCTTCATAATCATGACATGACACAGGTCATGAATGTGAAGGGTTTTTATGCATATTTATGACAACTGTCATTAAGTGTCATTCGCTCAGTTGTGTCATTTTTAATGCAAAGATGACATTGTTTGAGATGTCTTTGTTATGGGCTATGGTTAGGGGTAAGGGTAGGGATAGGGTTAGGTCAAATAATGTCATATTTGCATTAAAAATGACATAACTGAGCGAATGACACTTAATGACAGTTGTCATAAACATGCATAAAACCTCCTTCATATTCATGACATGTGTCATGTCATGATTATGAAGGTGTCATGTCAGTCTCATGCACACCCCTTCAAGTAAAGTGTTACCAACATTTTTAATTATTACAAACTTTTGACTGGTAGTGTATACTAGAATAAATGGGCTTTAACTGTTGTGATTTGTGAAGCAAAAATAATATAGCAAAATAGAGGGGCAGAGTATATAAAGAAAAGTATCAACCAAAATTGTGCATACCGGAATTTACGATACAGCCATAACTTATGGTGGAAAAACACAGAGAAGCTAAATAAGTCACAAAAGGGGACTGGCAGATTTATTCAGTGAGCTACAGCACTTCTGGGGTAATTACACAGCAGTCAAAGACAGAGAAACGTTAACAGCTAAATGCTTCAGCTCCAAAGCCCACAAGTGCAATTCATTTACCACAAAATAACCCCATCATCGGTAAACCATCACACTGGCACACTCCAATGATTGAATTTCCAATTACAGCTGGCAAGTGTTCAGTTTTAGCTAAACCAATTCACTTCAGCAAACTTCTAATGACGAGTGCTCCAGAATGCCGGTGACGTTGATGTTCTCCAGAAATTGTAGAAACGTAACTTGTGAAAAAGTCATTACAACTACAGAAGAAGAACAAAAGAGGGCCTGCTTAATACAAACTCACCTCATAAATCGCAACATAGTAGCGCGGCTGCTGAAAGCGTGGGGGGTTGTCATTTCGATCCCGTACGACTATCCGCACCTCGTGTAGGATCACCGTGCCAACAAGCTCATTAGTACACTGAACCTGCACCACAATGGAATGAATGTAGGAGGGAGGCTGAAAGACAAAAATAAAAGAAACAAATCGAGCAAGTTCATTTGCATGGTGTGCATTCAGCAGACCGACCGAAAAATGACCATTTGTTTGCAGTCCATTATGGAGCCCATTACAAAGTGTATGCTGTGAACAACAGATTTCCAAGCAAAAGAGAGGAACTTTTTTGTTTTATCATAGTTCTGATTGAACCAAAAGTAATGAATGGATAAAGAGGGTCTAAAACCACCAGTGGATTTTTTTTGTTACAAGTTACATAATCAGCATAACATTTTTAAAATTGTAAAAATTCTAAACAGGTTCATGTTTTATTACCACATTTAAAGGAACAGTTCACCTGAGAATGAAAAGCAGATATAGAGAAATTCAGCATTACATCACTTGCTCACCAACTTGCTCTGCAGTGAATGGGTGCCGTCAGAATGAGAGTCCAATCAGCTTATAAAAACATCACAATAATCCACAAGTAATCCACTCCACTCCAGTCCATCAATTAATGTCTTTCTGAAGCAAAAAGCTGCATGCTTTTTTTTTTTTTAAGAAACAAATCCATCAAGCCATTTTAACTTCGAATTATTGCTTCCGGCTAAAATGTGAGTCCTCTATTCATAATATTGCTTTCTCCAGTGAAAAAGTTGTCTGGAGAGAAATATGCACAGATCAAGAGAAAACAATCCAAAACTAAAATATGTTGGTAGATTTTGATGTGAGAGGACTGGTTTCATGTGGATTATTGTGATGTTTTTATCAGCTGTTTGGACTCTCATTCTGACGGCACCCATTCACTGCAGAGGATCCATTGGTGAGCAAGTGATGTAATGCTAAATTTCTCCAAATCTGTTCCGATGAAGAAACAAACTCATCTATATCTTGGATGGCCTGAGGGTGAGAATATTTTCAGCCAATTTTCATTTTTTGTGAACTATTCCTTTAAAGTTGGAGTGTGGTTTCGGCACCACTAGCATTCAATGGACTAGTATAGCATAATGAAGCCAAATAATTACATCTCGGTCCAGAACTCGTCCGGTGCTGTTGAGATACAGGCATTGCTTAACCGGGTCCAGAATGACCCAGTAGTCGTGGTTGTCCCGTAGAGATAAAGAGATGGTCCTGTCAGGGTCTTCTGCTCTCCCGTTTATCTGCATGTTCTCCACCAGAAGGGTTCCTGTGATAATAACAAACAAACACATTTATTTGCTCCCAGTTTTGATTTTAAAAAGCATTTGTGGCATTACCCTTTTCATTTCATTATATTATTAACTAAAGATGACCGACATCCACATTCATTTTATAGCTCTATACTCTTACTATTCTTTGATTAAAGAAGTACACTTTAGCATACAAAAAAAAGGGGAACTGAATGCAATGTTTTCAGATATTTCAGTGCATATTTACAAATTCATGAAAATAAATTATAGTTGAAATTTAAATTAAATGCAGCTAGATGAGAGTGATATTTTGGCCCACTTTATTAGGACTTTAGTACATCTTTGTATGTAATTACATAATTACTTCGATTGTCTTTAATATGTGGTTAGAGTGTATTTTTGGGAAACTAAATTTGACATTTAGGATAAATTAAAACATACTTTAATGTCATTTCTCTGAATGATAAAAGCGATCACATACACAGATCTAACTTATTCCAAAGCACACGGCAAACAAAAACTGTACAGCAGCATTCAGGTGTTGTAATGTGGGTTTAATGAGAGCTCTTCAACTGCAGCAAGTGATTTAAAGCAGCTGACAGCATAAGAATACATTGGGTGAGCTCCACCGACATTCAGTTCACCGCGTAGAGCACATCACACTCACTTCAGCCTTTCATTTCAAACGGCTATAGGACCTTATTAATTCAAACTAAATCCTACAGGAAATTCCACTCTAAGTAGTTGTTTAATATTGCTTGATATGCTTGGTTGTATTGTACAAAATTGTAAATTTTTATGCGACTACAACGCAGTCATTGTTTCCAAAGACACATAGAAGGGTCTACAAAGCACAAACCTTGAGCAATGGAAAATAAACTAATATGACCTCATAAGTCATTGTGTTCCTGCTGCTAACATTTGGAAAGATTTAATGTTGAACGGGCCAATGGATGCCTTCGATACACCTAGTTGTCGGACATTAAAGTCAAGCGGGATAGTTAATCATATGAGCAGCCATCTCAGGAGAGTCATCAGCCCCAATGATTACGAAGCATAAAACAGCCAGGAAACACAAGCTCGTTTTAAAGGACCAAGTACATCTAGATGTGTGAACACTGAAACGCTAGAGTGCTAACATAATTTCCTTTCCTCATGCTGCCAATAGAAAATGCTGTGCTAGTCCAAACAACAAAACTTGGTCTCCTGTAAGTTGCTTGGTGTACACTGGAGGACCTTTCTTTCAACTTTCATTCCACACCATTAATAAAATACTTAAATGCTGTTTTTTTTAATGTTTCTAATCACGGTAACACTTTATTTTAAGGTGTCCTTGTTACACATGTTACATGTACTTACTATTATAATAACAATTAATTATGCATAGTTGCATGCAAGTACCCCTTAGCCAAACCCAAATCCTAACCATATAGTAAGTAGCCTACATGTAGTTAATTAATATTACGCAGTACTTATATGTATAATTACACTGTAACAAGGACACCTTAAAATAAAGTGTAACCCTAATCACTTGCAATAACCTAAAATATAAATAACAAACTGTTAATTTCAAGTTGTTCAAGAACTTAACTGCAACATAATACATCATGAGTCAAACTGTTAAGTTGACCCTCGCTGACGTAAGCAAAGCGAGTGGTTGAAATCAAAGACAAACAAATGCCAAAAAAAAAAATAATAATAATACATTTGTGACTCTTTTAACAATGTGCGGTGAAATATCTGTAATATTCTGCACATTAAGGCATCAAAACAAATATATTATAAACAAAATCACGAGTCAAACAAAGTTCAAATTTGACAAAACAGTTTGTTATGCATTTGTATGCAATGTAAATGTACTAAATGCAACAATTTTATGCAAGAATGATATTTAAAACGCAATAATTCTGGTCATGTCTGCTCATTGTGAATCCAGGGTTGTTGTTTTTTGTTTGTTTGTTTTTATAAATAAATAAAGACATACAGTACATACTGTCAACAGGAATTAATAAAATAGAAATCTAAATTAATAAAAAAAACAAGAATCTAGCTTGAGAATATTACAATATATCCATACATACTAATTTAAACACACATATTACCCGTATACCCAGGAATTTTATTAAATCTAAAATACCACTTCCCTTTTTTCCAAAAAAACAATTTAAGCTAATAATAAAATAAAATAAAAAATCCCATCATCAATCCATTGTCAATAAATACCCACACATACATACTCATTTAAATGTACATATTATCCATATACCCAGGAAAAATATTAAATCTAATTTATATATATATATATATATGTTTTTTTTTTTTTATCTTTTGGGTATGAAGTTAATATATATTCTAAATGGGAATACATATATATATATATATATATATATATACACACATACATATACACAGTATATATATATTATTTAAAATTTTTCTCCACTGTGGCGGACAGTATGTTTCCTGTACACTTGAGTGGAAAAATACAAAAGAAAAATCCCCGTTTTTGACCACATACTAATGAAATTCCCCAGCATGCCAATACACTAAAAATGTGTTCTTCTCCAGCATGTTCTTATCTCCGTCTCAGCGTACACTTACAGCTCTTTCACACTCTTCCAGGTTGCTCGTAAGCGCTTCTCATCCCCCTCTCTCTAAAGCCATGTCTCTCAGCATGCGGCCAGATGGTTTTCTATGTCACACCGATGAGTGATGAACGCGTTCTTGCCGAGCGCCGGGACGATCTCAGGAAGCGGCACGCCATTCCCTCTCTAGGCTGTCTCAAACAGCGGTGCGCCCAGTCGTGGACATCCCTTGGCAGCTGGTTTGCAGCAGGCCGGGGCCCTTGCACGCTGGCAACACACCTGTGCAGGGCAAGCTGGGTGATACTTGGCAAAGCATGTTGAGTTCTCTGCTCACATGTCAATGTGCGTCTTCCTCCTTTCTTTCATTGTTCTCACTGTTCTCTCAACAGGGTTCCATCGCGTCCATCCAGCTCTATCATTCCTGGCCTGCCAAAGCAACTTCCCGTGTTCATCTGTACTGCAGTGGCGTAAAGAGACTCTCTGGGCACGGGAAATCTGACATCCTGTGAATGTTTTATCACTCACACAGATAACGGTATAAAAAAAGAAATATACTGCACATTTGCTCCCATTCCCTCAGTTGAGAGATCAAATGGTAGTTTTAACAGCTATTCTTGCTAAGCAGAGCTGGGCTGTTATCCTGATATGAAAGCCTATGAATATCATTATCATTATCATACTCCGGGCATAGGGGTGGTTTTAACATTGATATGGACGTTTAAAAATCAGTCAAACTATACAGGAAACTCAGTGTTTTAATCCGATTCACAGACTGATTCACAACTGACCAGTTTTTGGTTTTATATACAGTAAGTAGTATTTGACCACTATCTTATTTATTAAATCAAAATTTCCAAATAGTACACTTTACTTAATTTAAAAAAGTTAGTGTTACATTTTCACAATACAAATGTATTTAATGAATTAAGCACAACACAATACTTATAAATATTTATGTTACAAATAGTCTCATTAGTCTGCAATCTAATTGTTTAAATATATATATATTTACATATTCCATAATTCATCAATACATGTTCCATACCATCCAAACCCAAATCAAGACCAGTCTTAAAGTTAATTCCAAGTTAAAGTTGTCTTTCTTTGGTATGGCTGTAAGAGGATAATGGTATCTATTGAGGTCAGAATCAATTATCAACTGACCCTTTTTCCTTTTTAGAACAGATGACATTCATCAGCACTATATTGTGTTTATGTAGGACAATATGATATCTCAGCTAGAAAAATTAAATACAATGTGAATTTTGCTCATGCACTTACATTTAAAATTTTGAAATAGCAGCATGTGCATTTACTTATTTTTTTATAAATGATACATTTGTTATGAGATAATAATCCTTTCAATGAGGGATGTTTATGGCAGTGTAGTAGATTTTTCTGTGTGAATTTCCACTAGACAAAATTAAAGATGAAGATCAACTATGCTCAGTGTATGTTCTGTACAGTAACTCTTCAAAAATGTAACAGAATTCACAATGCTGACAGAAAAGTTTACAACACTGCTGAATTGTGAGGTAAAAAAAAGGAATACCATAAAAGTAGAAATAATTCAAAAATCAGGCCAGCATCAGTTGCTATTGCTCATAAATATAACTTCACTAGCTCATTCATGTGATTGGAACTGCTTTTAAACCATTTATATTTCAGCTCCACATGAAGGCCGAATGTGTATTAAGCTTATGTGCATTAATGTGTATTAGACAACGTTTGTGCTACGAATTTGTACAATATCCCAAATTGTGTGGCTTGTTAAGGAAAGGTGTATCATTACATATCTAAACAGTCAAAAAAAAAAATAATAATAATAAAAACATTGAATGATTCATTGCACTAGCACGAACACAAAAAAATCTAGCTTTAAAACTTATTTTAGCCCATATTCATGCCCATTATGGTGCTATTTCTGTTCCTACTGAGGTATTTGAATTCCAAACATATAAAGAATTGATAATACAAAGAATTGGCATATAAATATTGTAACGCTTGTCTATTACCAATATACTGTTTGTGAAGCATCCATAAGATTCAGCACAGTAGGGCAGATAAACATGTATGCAAGAATGCTGTCTGAATCTAGAGTTGGTTGTGACTCAACTAAACCTGTCATAACAGTCAAGATCAAAGACATACTAAACCATCTCCAAAGCTGTGCATCCTAACAAAGCTGCGCAGCACTGCTCTTCCAATTCCCAACTTATAACAAAAACATGATTCTCATAACAGAGAATTCATATTGTGTTTGTACTTCCCTAACCTCTTGAGTTGTGACTGCAAGGCTACATTTCTGAAACAGTAGTAAGCTGACACATTTGTCTTTTTGTGGAATAAAACAAGGGGGAAAAAAACGCATCCTCCACTTCTTTGCTGGGATGTGAAGTGGAGAAGATGCTAAATAGCCTCGACCCCCAGAG